CGAAGGAGACCAGGAGCCAAGTGCGGGGACCGGGAGGGGGGCGGCGGGAGGGAGGGATGGGGAAGGCAGGGGAGGAGTGGAGGGAGGGATGGAGGAAGGCTTAGGGGAGCGGAGGGAGGGATGGAGGGAGGCTGCGAGGGCTGGAGGGAGGGATGGAGGGAGCAGAGGGGGAGTGGAAGGAGGGATAGAGGGAGGGATGGAGGGAGGTAGAGGAGGACTGGAGGGAGGGATGGAGGAAGGCTTAAAGGGCTGGAGGGAGGGATGCAGGGAGGCTGCGAGGGCGGGAGGGAGGGATGGAGGCAGCAGAGGAGGAGTGGAGGGAGGGATGCGGGCAGGCTCGGGGGAGCGGAGGGAGGGATGCAGCGGGGAGGAGGCCGTCGGGGCCCGCGGGCGGGGGCAGGCGCGGCCCGGGATGGGGCGGGAGCGGTTCGTTACCGGGCGGGCGGCGGCGGCGGGCGCGGCGCGGGACGGCGGCGGCGGCAGCGGCAGCGGCAGCGGCAGCAGCAGCAGGAGGGGCCCGGGGGGCGGCAGGGGCCCGGGGGCACCGGAGGGCCCGGGGGAGCCGCCTCCCCGCCGCCGGCCCGAGCCCCGGCCCCGCCGCGCCGCCGCGGCCACCAGCACCATCAGCACCAGCACCCGCCGCCGCGGCCCCGCCGCCGCCGCCCCGCCGGCCCGGGCCATGCCGCCGCCGCCTCCCCGGGGAGGCAGGGCCGGAGCCGCCGGGGGAGGCGGGGGCCGCGGCCGGGCAGGCTGACATCATTCCGGGGAGGAGCGGTCGCTCCCCGCCCCGGCGGAGGGGGCTCCGCGGCCAGAGCCGCGCCGGGCACCGGGCGGCCCCCGGGGGCAGCGGGGTGGGGGGGGAGCTGCGGGGCCTCCCCCCCCGGGACACCCCGGAGGGACCCCAAAGTGACCCCAGTGCGGGTGCCCCAGAGTGACCTCACTGCATCCCCTGGGACACGGTGAGGAGAGGCCGGGGACACCCCATTGTGTGCGCTGGGGGACCCCATTGAATCCCCTGGGACACGGTGAGGAGACCCTGCGGACACCCCATTGTGTGCGCTGGGGACCCCAAAGGGACCCCATTGAATCCCCTGGGGCACGGTGAGGAGACCCCGCGGACACCCCATTGAGTCCCCTGCCACACGGTGAGGAGACCCCGCGGACACCCCATTGTGTGCGCTGGGGGACCCCAAAGGGACCCCACTGAATCCCCTGCGACACGGTGAGGAGACGCCGGGGACACCCCATTGTGTGCGCTGGGGACCCCATTGAATCCCCTGGGACACGGTGAGGAGACCCCGCGGACACCCCATTGTGTGCGCTGGGGACCCCAAAGGGACCCCACTGAATCCCCTGCAACACGGTGAGGAGACGCTGGGGACACCCCATTGAGTCCCCTGCCACACGGTGAGGAGACCCCGCGGACACCCCATTGTGTGCGCTGGGGGACCCCAAAGGGACCCCATTGAATCCCCTGGGACACGGTGAGGAGACCCCGCGGACACCCCATTGTGTGCGCTGGGGACCCCAAAGGGACCCCACTGAATCCCCTGCAACACGGTGAGGAGACGCCGGGGACACCCCATTGTGTGCGCTGGGGACCCCAAAGGGACCCCACTGAATCCCCTGCAACACGGTGAGGAGACCCCGCGGACACCCCATTGTGTGCGCTGGGGGACCCCATCGAATCCCCTGGGACATGGTGAGGAGACCCCGCGGACACCCCATTGTGTGCGCTGGGGGACCCAGAAAGGGACCCCATTGAATCCCCTGCGACCCGGTGAAGAGAGGCCAGGGACACCCCATTGTGTGCGCTGGGGGACCCCAAAGGGACCCCATTGAATCCCCTGGGACACGGTGAGGAGACCCCGCGGAAACCCCATTGTGTGCGCTGGGGGACCCCAAAGGGACCCCATTGAATCCCCTGCGACACCCCAGGGGCACCCCACGGAGACCCTGGAGCGACCCCGGTGCATCCCCCCCAGACACTGCAGAGCGACCCCAGGGTACCCCAAAGTGACACCATTGCGGCCCCCGGCACCCAGCAGAGACCCCGGGGGTACCCCAGTGACCCCACTGCACCCACCAAGACCCTTGCGAGGGCTGGTGGGGCCTTATGGCTTCTGCCGAAACCGGCTGTCCATCCATCCATGCTCCCATCTATGCCAGTGTCCATCTGTCTGTGCTCCTGTCCATCCTGGTGTCCGTCCATCCATGCCCACCTCCATCCCAGCATCCACCCATGCACATCTCCGTCTGCCCCAGTGTCCATCTGTCCGTGCCCCTGTCCATGCATCCATCCCTCCATCCATCCATGCATCCATCCATCCATCCCTGCATCCATCCATGCATCCATCCATCCCTCCATGCATCCATCCATGCATCCATCCATGCATCCATCCATCCATCCATGCATCCATCCATCCATCCCTGCATCCATCCATGCATCCATCCATCCCTCCATCCATCCATGCATCCATCCATCCATCCCTGCATCCATCCCTGCATCCATCCATGCATCCATCCATCCCTCCATGCATCCATGCATGCATCCATCCCCGTCTCTGTCCTTGCCCCCCCATTTCCAGGCAGGGCCGCGCGGAGCCTCCCCCGGGACCGGCCCCGTGGGGAGCCGCGCTCCCCGGCACGGCCGCGGTAATGGGCGCTAATGGAGGCAGCGGGAGCGGGGGGGCTGCGGCTGCCCCACAGCAACCCCGTGTGGGGCCAGCGACGGGCGGGGAGCTGCTGCACCCGCTGCTGGGGGCACCCACGGGGACGCCCGGCACCCCCCATGCGTGCGCTGCGAGCAGAGGGGCCGGGCTGGGGGGCAGCGGGCGATGGGGATGGAGGTGCTGGGGATGTACTTGGGGGGCTCCCCCCGTCTCCATTAACCCCAGCTGGGATCTGTGGCCGGCTCCTCCCTCGCTCGCACTAATGGGCTGCAGGACCCATGGGAGCCGCTGCCGGCAGCCTGAGTGCAGCCGGGGGGGGGGGAATCCATTTACCAGCTCCCCAGGGACCCCCCGCGCTGCCCCCCCAACCCTGCAGCCGCTTCCCCCCTCCTGTAGGGATGGGAATGGGGATCCTGGGCAGGGCTGGGCCCAGCCGCATCTGCCTGGGGTGGAGATGGAGCCCAGACCCGGCACAGGGATGGGACAGGGATGGGAGAGGGATGGGACAGGGATGGGAAAGGGATGGGACAGGGATGGGAAAGGGATGGGACAGGGATGGGAAAGGGATGGGACAGGGATGGGAAAGGGATGGGAAAGGGATGGGAGAGGGATGGGACAGGGATGGGAAAGGGATGGGAAAGGGATGGGAATGGGATGGGACAGGGATGGGACAGGGATGGGACAGGGATGGGAAAGGGATGGGAATGGGATGGGACAGGGATGGGAATGGGATGGGACAGGGATGGGACAGGGATGGGAGAGGGATGGGAGAGGGATGGGAGAGGGATGGGAAAGGGATGGGAATGGGATGGGACAGGGATGGGAAAGGGTTGGGAAAGGGATGGGACAGGGATGGGAGAGGGATGGGAAAGGGATGGGAAAGGGATGGGACAGGGATGGGAGAGGGATGGGAGAGGGATGGGACAGGGATGGGACAGGGATGGGAAAGGGATGGGACAGGGATGGGAGAGGGATGGGAAAGGGATGGGACAGGGATGGGAGAGGGATGGGAAAGGGATGGGAAAGGGTTGGGAAAGGGATGGGACAGGGATGGGAAAGGGATGGGAATGGGATGGGAGAGGGATGGGACAGGGATGGGACAGGGATGGGAAAGGGATGGGAATGGGATGGGACAGGGATGGGAATGGGATGGGACAGGGATGGGACAGGGATGGGAAAGGGATGGGACAGGGATGGGAGAGGGATGGGACAGGGATGGGACAGGGATGGGACAGGGATGGGAAAGGGATGGGAATGGGATGGGACAGGGATGGGAATGGGATGGGACAGGGATGGGAAAGGGATGGGAGAGGGATGGGACAGGGATGGGAATGGGATGGGAAAGGGATGGGACAGGGATGGGACAGGGATGGGAAAGGGATGGGACAGGGATGGGAAAGGGATGGGAAAGGGATGGGACAGGGATGGAAAATGGATGGGAAAGGGATGGGACAGGGATGGGACAGGGATGGGAAAGGGATGGGACAGGGATGGGACAGGAATGGGAAAGGGAAGGGAAAGGGATGGGAAAGGGATGGGACAGGGAAGGGAAAGGGATGGGACAGGGATGGGACAGGAATGGGACAGGGATCGGAAAGGGATGGGAAAGGGATGGGACAGGGATGGAAAATGGATGGGACACGGATGGGAAAGGGATGGGACAGGGGTGGGAAAGGGATGGGAAAGGGATGGGACAGGGATGGGAAAGGGATGGGACAGAGAAGGGACAGGGATGGGACACAGAAGGGGCTGTCAGGTGCATCGGCAAAGGCAGCACAAGCTGATCCCACCTCATCCCCTGCCAGACTCACACCAAGCCCAGGCCATCCCATGCCAAGCTCCTGCCAGACTCTCACCAAGCCTGTGCCACGCCAGACCCACACCATCCAGCACCAGACCCATGCCAAGCCCACTGCATCCCACACCAGACCCACACCAGACCCATGCCAAGCCCACTGCATCCCATGCCAGACCCACACCAAGCTCCTGCCAGACCCACACCATCCAGCACCAGACCCATGCCAAGCCCCCACAGTCCCACACCAAGCCCAGGCCACCCCTGGAACCCCCCCTGCAAAGTCACCCAGCCCCCCCGCCATCAAGTGGGGTAACCGCGGATGGCACCCATGGGGCACCCCCTCCCTCCCCACACCCGCAGCAGCCCCGTGCCCCCCGGACACGCTGTCAGGTCCCATCGCGGGTGACCGGAGCAGCCCCGGCCTCGGGCGCAGCCGCGTCCCCTCGGCTTTATTGCTACAGAGTCCTTGTGGGCGCGGGCGCTGGGGGGCCCTGTGCCCCATGGGGGGGTCCCCGTGCCAGCCTGCGGTGCTACGGGGGGTGAGCAGGGAGCTCGGGGGGGGCCGGATGCTGCGTGGCACTGGAGGCGTGAGGATGAGGGGGGCGATGGTGCGGGGATGCTCCTGCATCCTCCGCGCCCTCCTCCCCGTCCCCTCCATGGGGCTGCGGCCGGGCCCTCGCGCTGCCTTCCTCCTCCTCCTCCTCCTCCTCCTCCTCCTCCTGGGCCTGGTCCCCGCACGGGAGCTGCTGGTGGCACATGGGGCAGGAGTCCTGCAGGCAGAGCCACTGGCGCAGGCAGGCGGCGTGGAAGAGGTGGCTGCAGGGGGTGACCACGGCCACGGCCAAGTCCTGCGGGCACAGCGCGGCCTCAGCCCCGGCACACGGCGCCCACAACACCCCAGCACCAACAGCACCCACTGCACCCATGGTGACCAAGGCACCTGTGGCACCCATAGCACCCATGGCACCAATAGCACCCACTGCACCCACAGCGCCCAAGGCACCTGTGGCACCCATAGCACCCATGGCACCAATAGCGCCCACTGCACCCATGGTGACCAAGGCACCTGTGGCACCCATAGCACCCATGGCACCAATAGCGCCCACTGCACCCACAGCGCCCAAGGCACCTGTGGCACCCATAGCACCCATGGCACCAATAGCACCCACTGCACCCACAGCGCCCAAAGCACCTGTGGCACCCATAGCACCCATGGCACCCATAGCACCAATAGCACCCACTGCACCCACAGCGCCCAAGGCACCTGTGGCACCCATAGCACCAATAGCACCCACTGCACCCACAGCGCCCAAGGCACCTGTGGCACCCATAGCACCCACGGCACCCACAGCAACCACAACACCCACAGCACACACAACACCCACAGCGCCCACAGCACCCCAGGTGCTAACAGCACCCACAACACTTGGAGTGCCCAGAGCACCCACAGCGCCCATGGCCCCCCCAGAGCCCATGGTGCCCACAGCACCCCTGGCACACAGCACCCATGGCACACATAGCGCTCACAGCACCCCTGGCACCCCCAGTGCCCACAGCACCCACAGCCCCCATGGCAGCCATAGCGCCCACAGCACCCACAGCCCCCACAGCACCCATGGCACCCACGGCACCCACAGGCCCCATGGTACCCACAGCACCCATGGCACCCCCAGTGCCCACAGCACCCACAGCACCCATGGTGCCCACAGCACCCCTGGCATCCCTGGCACACAGCACCCATGGCACCCACAGCACCCATAATGCCCACAGCCCCCCACGGCACCCATAGCACCCATGGCACCCATAATGCCCATAGCACCCATGGCAACCCCAGTGCCCACAGCCTCCATGGCACCCACAGCACCCATGGCACCCACAGTGCCCACAGCACCCATAATGCCCACAGCACCCAGGGCACCCATAGCATCCAGGGCATCCATAGCATCCAGGGCACCCATAGTGCCCATGGCACCCATAGCGCCCACAGCACCCATAGCACCCAGGGCACCCATAGCACCCACAGCACCCATAGCACCCACGGCACCCATAGCACCCACGGCACCCATAGTGCTCACGGCACTCATAGCGCCCACGGTACCCATAGCACCCACGGCACCCACAGCACCCACAGCGCCCATGGCGCCCACAGCGCCCATGGCACCCAGAGCACCCATGGCACCCACAGCACCCACGGCACCCATAGCACCCACGGCACCCATAGCACCCACGACACCCACAGCACCCACACCACCCACGGCACCCATAGCGCCCATGGCACCCACAGCGCCCATGGCACCCACAGCACCCATAGCACCCATAGCACCCAGGGCACCCACCTGGAAGCAGATGGCGCAGACATCATCGTGCAGCCGCAGCTGCCCGCGCGTGGCCCTGGGCAGGGTCCGCACCTTCCTGTCCGCCCCCCGGCGCAGGCGGAGGCTGCGCCAGCCGCAGCGCGCCCGCAGCCACACGTTGAGGTAGGCGTGGGTGAGCAGCACGGCGGCCCCCAGCCAGCTCCACTGCCCCAGCACCGACTCCCAGGCCCCGCAGGCCACCACGCTCAGCGCCAGCAGGAACTCCAGCGCCCGGCTCAGCGCCCGCACGCAGTAAACGGCCTCGTCCACGCGCCCCGGCGCCGCCTCCCGCACCGGCTCCGCCAGGAAGAGCGCGTAGATGAAGAGCGTGCCCATCACCTGCGGGCAGCCGCGCCACGGCCTTGGCACCCGCGGACCTCGAGCCCAGCCGGCCCCACTGCGGGGACCCGCCCGAACCCCCCGCTCCCGCTGACCCCATCGCCCCACTGCCGCAGCCCCCGGTGAGGGTCCCGCTCCCGCACCCAATGGAGACGGGATGCAGCTCCCTCGGGACGCGGCTCATCCCCCCCCTCCCCAGCAGCGCCATAGGGACGGGGTGAGCGGGGATCCGGCTGCGCCCCACACCTGCAGCGAGGTGAGCATGCAGCTGGAGACCAGGACGAGCAGCCAGAAATCCAGCTGGAAGAAGTGGGCGATCTTGTAGGCGAGGAAGCAGGGGAACACCAGCAGGAAGAGGCACAGGCTGACACCGCGGAAGTGCTTCCAGGGGCTCCTGTGGGACGCGCGGAGCTCAGCGGGGCACATCCAGCCCAGGGACAGCGCCTCCGGGCCCCAGCCCCGGTACCTGTTGCGGGAGGCCCCCAGCGCCAGCAGGATGGGGTCCGCGATCTCGATCATGGACTGGAGCGTGGAGGTGAGCACGATGAAGAGGATGATGCTGAGCAGGAAGGTCCTTTGCAGCGCCGGCAGGTCCAGCAGCCCCGTCTGCAGCGCCAGCAGCAGCAGCGTCACCCCCTCCGTCACCCCCCTGCCGGAGCGGGGCGTGAGGCGGCACCGGGACCTGCCCTGCGCTGTCCCCTTGGGTCCCCAACTCATCCGGCCCAACAGTGCCTGTCCCCATCCCTGTCCCCATCCCAGCTACCCGATGCCCATCCCTGTCCCCATCACTGTCCCCATCCCAGCTCACCAGTGCCTGTCCCCATCCCTGTCCCCATCCCTGTTCCTATCCCAGCTCCCCGGTGCCTGTCCCCATCGCTGTCCCCATCCCTGTCCCCATCCCAGCTCCCCGGTGCCTGTCCCCATCCCTGTCCCCATCCCAGCTGCCCGGTGCCCATCCCTGTCCCCATCCGTTCACCGGTCCCCATCCCTGTCCCCATCCCAGCTCACCGGTGCCTGTCCCCATCCCAGCTCCCCGGTGCCTGTCCCCATCCCAGCTCACCGGTGCCCATCCCTGTCCCCATCCGTTCACCGGTCCCCATCCCTGTCGCCATCCCAGCTCCCCAGTGCCCAACCCTGTCCCCATCCCAGCTCACCACTGCCCATCCATGTCCCTGCTCCCATCCCAGCTCCCCGATGCCCATCCCTGTCCCCATCCCAGCTCCCCGATGCCCATCCCTGTCCCCATCGCTGTCCCCATCCCAGCTCCCCACTGCCCATCCCTGTCCCCATCGCTGTCCCCATCCCAGCTCCCCGGGGCCTGTCCCCATCCCTGTCCCCATCCCAGCTCCCCACTGCCCATCCCTGTCCCTATCCCTGTCCCCATCCCAGCTCCCCAGTGCCCATCCCTGTCCCCATTGCTGTCCCCATCCCAGCTCCCCGGTGCCTGTCCCCATCCCAGCTCCCCGGTGCCTGTCCCCATCCCAGCTCCCCGATGCCCATCCCTGTCCCCATCGCTGTCCCCATCCCAGCTCCCCGGTGCCTGTCCCCATCCCAGCTCACCGGTGCCTGTCCCCATCCCAGCTCCCCGGTGCCTGTCCCCATCCCAGCTCCCCGGTGCCTGTCCCCATCCCAGCTCCCCGGTCCCCATCCCTGTCCCCATCCCAGCTCCCCGGTGCCCATCCCTGTCCCCATCCCAGCTCCCCGGTGCCCATCCCTGTCCCCATCCCAGCTCACCGGTGCGTGCCGTTGCCGGTGTGGAAGGCGCTGAACCCCACCAGGTAGAACTTGCAGAGGCTGAGGAGCCCCAGGGCCAGGTAGGAGACGGTGAAGGTGAGGCCGAGCAGGGCGTAGGGAGTGCTGCAGCACTCTGCCGCGCTGCAACGGAGCCGAGCCGCGGTCACGGGCCCGCCGGGAGCACCCCACGGCGCGGACCCTCCTCATCCTCCCCCCGGCACCCCGGGCTGCCCGCTCCTACCTGCTGAGGAGGAGGAGGAGGAAGCCCTGCGCGCTCAGGGGGGTGCCGGACGAGGCGAGGAAGGCGCAGAGCTGCAGGGAGAAGAGCACGAGCCAGAAGGCGAGGAAGAGGAGGGGCACGGCCAGGCGGCTCCATAGGGACACCCCCAGCGCCAGCAGCCGGTTCAGCTCCAGCGCCTGCGGGGCGGGGGGGGGGACACACAAGGGCGCTCAGCGGGGCTGCCCCACACGTGTGGGGCGGGACGGGAGCCCGCAGCCCCGCTCACCTCCATGAGGTCGGTGGCGGCGGCGGCCGCCAGGCGCACGGGGGGCAGGAGGTGGGGGCCCAGCAGGCAGAGCAGCACGGTGAGGGTGAGCAGCGCGGCCGCGGCGTGGAGCAGGGGCAGCGCCGGCGGGGGCAGCCCGCAGAGCCGCGCCAGCACCGGCAGCACCGGAGCCAGCAGCAGCCACGGCCGCCGGCACCGCAGCAGCAGCGAGCACGGGGCACAGAGGCAGAGCTGGGCTGCGGGGACGGGACGGGACCGGGGGGGGTCAGGGAACAGCTCGGCCTGCACGGAGACACCCCCTGGGACCTCATGCATGGGGGGGCTTAAAGCCCGTCCAGCCCCAGGGACCCCTTCCTCTGGAGCAGCTTGCTCCAAGCCCTGTGTCCAACCTGGCCTTGAGCACTGCCAGGGATGGGGCAGCCACGGCTTCAACCCCTTCCCGTGTCCCACCGCCCTCACAGGGGAGAACTTCCCTGTATCCCACCCAGCTCTTCCCTCTTCCAGCCGGAAGCCCTCATCCCATCCCTGCCTCCCTTGTCCCCAGCCCCTCTCCACGTTCCCTGTACCCCCCTCAGCTGCTCTCAGCTCTCCCCACCCCACAGCAGAGGGGCAGGATCCCCTCCCGGCGCTGCTGCTCCCGCTCCGGGGTGCTCCCAGCACAGGGGGGGTCCAGGACCGGGTCCTGGGGGGGGAGCCTCTCCTCACCCCGCACCCCAGCTCCTTCCCTCGGCCTCTCTGCACCCCCCCACCTGCCAGGGTGCTGATGGAGGCCCTGAGCGCCGCGGGCTCACGGAGCACAGCGCCCTGGAAGCCGGACTCCAGCTCCTGGTGCACGTAGTCCCTGCAGGGAGAGAGGGTCAGGTCCGGTGCCCCCCATGTTCCCCCCATGTCCCCACTGTGCTCCCCATGTCCCCGGTGTTCCCATGTCCCCGGTGCCCCCATGTCCCCACTGTGCTCCCCATGTCCCCGGTGTTCCCATGTCCCTGGTGCCCCCATGTCCCCCCCATGTCCCCACTGTGCTCCCCATGTCCCCACTGTGCTCCCCATGTCCCCGGTGCCCCCCATGTCCCCCCCATGTCCCCACTGTGCTCCCCATGTCCCCGGTGTTCCCATGTCCCTGGTGCCCCCATGTCCCCACTGTGCTCCCCATGTCCCCGGTGTTCCCATGTCCCCGGTGCCCCCATGTCCCCCCCATGTCCCCACTGTGCTCCCCATGTCCCCGGTGTTCCCATGTCCCCGGTGCCCCCATGTCCCCCCCATGTCCCCACTGTCGTCCCCATGTCCCCGGTGCAACCCCCAAGCCCCCAGTGCCCCCCATGTTCTCGGTGTCCCCCATGTCCCTGGTTCCCCCGATGTCCCCCCCATGTCCCCAGCGCCCCCCACGTCCCCACTGTCTGCCCCATGTCCCCTGTGTCCCTGGTGTCCCCCATGTCCCCCCTGTCTCCCCCATGTCCCTGGTGCCCCCCATGTCCCCAGTGCTCCCATGTCCCCCGTGCCCCCCATGTCCCCAGTGCTCCCATGTCCCCCGTGCCCCCCATGTCCCCCCTGTCTCCCCCATGTCCCCAGTGCTCCCATGTCCCCCGTGCCCCCCATGTCCCCGCTGTGCCCCCCATGTCCCCCCTGTCTCCCCCATGTCCCCCATGCCCCCCATGTCCCCAGTGCTCCCATGTCCCCCCTGTCTCCCCCATGTCCCCAGTGCTCCCATGTCCCCCGTGCCCCCCATGTCCCTGCTGTGCCCCCATGTCCCCCCCGTCCCCGGTGTCACCTGGCCAGTGAGTGGCCGGCGCTGAGCAGCAGCCCGCTGAGGAGGTGCAGGTAGAGCTTCACCAGCGAGCGCAGCGGCAGCAGCAGCAGCACCAGGGACACGATGTGGCCTGTGCAGAGGGACCGGGGGTGATGCTGAGCCCCCCCCTCAGTGCCCCCATTGGTATTGGGGGGGCAGGGACCCAGCGCTGGGGACACGGTGCTGGCGCCAGGACAGCCACAGCAAGAGGGTGACCCCCGATCCTGGAGAGCACCCTGGGGTGTCCCCAGTGTGCACACCCCTTAGGGTGTCCTCCCTCCCTCTCCATGCTCCTAACCCGGCCACCTTTAGGGTGCCTCCTTGTGTGCCCCACTTACCCATCCCTTGGGATGCCCCCCCCATGCCCATCCCTTGGGGTGCACCCTTACGGCCCCAGCTGGATATGATATGGCACACGTCCTCATGTCCATCCCTTGGGATATCCCCCAACCATCCCCTGGGATGCACCCTTACGGCCCCAACCGGGCATGATACGGCACACATCCTCATGTCCATCCCTTGGGATGCCCCCCCCATGCCCATCCCTTGGGATGCACCCTTACGGCCCCAACCGGACATGATATGGCACACGTCCTCATGTCCATCCCTTGGGATATCCCCCAACCATCCCTTGGGATGCACCCTTACGGCCCCAACCGGACATGATATTGCACACATCCTCATGTCCATCCCTCGGGGTGCCCCCCCATGCCCATCCCTTGGGGTGCACCCTGCTGTCCTCAACCTCCCCATGCCCATCCCTTGGGATGCACCCTTATGGCTCAAAACGGACGTGATACAGCACACATCCTCATGCCCATCCCTCGGGGTGCCCCCCATGCCCATCCCTTGGGGTGCACCCTGCTGTCCTCAACCTCCCCATGCCCAGCGCTGTCCCCTCGTGCCCGCAGCCCGGCAGTACCGGGGCTGCCCCCCATGTTCCTCCCTGGGATGTGCCCCCCATGTCCCAACGCTGCCATTCCCTGGGCTCCCCCCCCCCCAGTGCCCTCCCCCTGCCCATCCCTTGGGACCCCCCCGTGTCCCCGCTCCCCCCTCACCCATGCAGTGCGCGCCGCGGAGCGCGGGGGCGCGCAGGAGGGGATGA